AGATGTTTACATTTTCGACTGTTTAATTATAGGCTTTTAACTGATTTATGTACAATGCCTTGTCTTTTGCTGCTGCAAAGCAAACATTTCCCACATTGGTATCAATAAAGTACTTCTTATTTTATCTTAATCCTCAAATATTAGCAAATGTAACTTTTTCAAATATTGATGTAACTACATACACATTGATATGTTGTATAAATATTGCAAATCAAAACCTTTATTCACTACTTATTACCAAAAATTGTAGTTCTATCTCCGGTAATCATGCATTCAAATGTCCCACCACGAACTTCCGGGGAACTATTGAGTCTCCCTGAACCACGTGACGATCAAGCATTTTGGTCCTCCGCTGTCGTAACTCTTCTCTCTATATGGCGCTGGCTGATACAGCTTTAACATTTATCTAAATGTATGTCGCTGCCTGAAGTATTTTACACTCAGTAAAATTGGTGCTTTCTGGTTTATTTAAAATACTGCTCTTTAATTCAGGCGCCCATTCCCCAAGGCAATGTTGAATTTAAATAAAATATAATACTGCATTTTTCCTTCCCTTTTCTTTGGTGTGACCTTGCGTAGCCCATCATCTATCATTGATTTATTACAGACATCCTGAACTTGCTTTAGTCCTGCTCTGCAAGGTGGGCTAGAGCGGCGTTTTGTCCCTGACTTGAATATGTTATTAATAAATGGAGAATGACCTAGACCTCTGCCAATCAATCTCCTCTTTTAAAAGCTGTGTGCATTCAATGATTGTTAGCACCGCAGCTGCAGAGTTCTAATACAGGCTGTGCACTGAAACCTTTTGACGTGCAATTTCATGTTTGATATTTGAACACTAATTCTGTTAAATAAATTGTTAAGTAATACTCAGTTGTTTTGACAATCAATTAGAAAGCAGAACTGACATTTGATGCTTTATTATATTTTTAAACCTGATAGATATCCATAATATTATTTACTTATAGGTGCTATTTTTCTGCAGCATCCGACATGACCCTGTCAGAGACCTGTGACTTTGATTTACAAACCTCTGGGTGATAAACGTCAGCCCAGAGAGCGTGTCACAGGAAGTCGTCTCCTCATAAGCGAAGTTTAGCAATTCCCATCCAGAGTCTGAGGGCCCTCAAAGGGTCAGGGCCACAGCAGGGATTAGACAGCACCAGGGCTGTCAGATTCTGTGAAATGCCACAGTGGGAACAAAGGCCAATAAAAGAGCGGTTTTGCCCTTTGATGCCGCAACTGAAGTTGAGGGCTATTGCCAACAGGCGCAGCACGGTGAGAGCACAGAGATCACACTGAACACTGACTCTGTTCCACCAAGCAGTAACAGTGTCACTCGGGCATATCTCAGGGTTGTGGAAATACTGAACAAGTGTGCGCATTTAACATGTTCATGCATGCATATCTGCATTTTAAAGAGCATGGGTGTGAATGCGTTATGACTGATCTATTTATGGCGGCCCAGTAAAATAAATGCATGCACAAATGCCAGACACATTAAGCAACTAGCAAAACATAGTGGAGCATTTAGCAGCTAAACAGCCCGATATTTCCCGAGCCTAGGCAAGGCAAGGCAAGGCAAGTTTATTTATATAGCACTTTTCAACACAAGGCAATTCAAAGTGCTTTACAAAAAATGAAAGACATTAAGAAAATGGCATTTAAAATCAGTCATTAAAAAGAAAAGCTAATAAAATAAACATTAAAAGAAAAAATACATGGATAAAAGTTACAGTGCAATCTAAGATATGAATAGTTCAATTAAAAGCAAAGACAAAAAGAAAAGTCTTCAGCCTGGATTTAAAAGTAGTCAGAGTTGCAGCGGACCTGCAGGTTTCTGGGAGTTTGTTCCAGATATTTGGAGCATAATAACTGAACGCTGCTTTACCATGTTTAGTTCTGACTCTGGGGACAGAAAGCTGACCAGTCCCTGAAGACCTGAGAGATCTGGATGGTTCATAATTTAGCAGGAGGTCAGAAATGTATTTTGGGCCTAAACCATTCAGTGCTTTATAAACCAGCAGCAGTATTTTGAAATCTATTCTTTGACACACAGGAAGCCAGTGTAAAGACTTCAGAACTGGAGTGATGTGATCCACTTTCTTAGTGTTAGTGAGGACTCGAGCAGCAGCGTTCTGAATCAGCTGCAGCTTTCTAATAGATTTTTTAGTGAGACCTGTGAAGACACCATTGCAGTAGTCGAGTCTACTGAAGATAAAAGCATGGACAAGCTTTTCCAAATCCTGCTGTGACATTAGTCTTTTAATCCTAGATATATTCTTTAGGTGATAGTAGGCTGATTTAGTAACTGTTTTAATGTGACTGTTGAAACTCAGGTCAGAGTCCATGACTACACCTAGATTTCTGGCTTTATCTGTTGTTTTGAACATTGCACACTGAAGCTCAGCGCTAACTTTTATACGTTCTGACTTGGCTCCAAAAACCATTACCTCAGTTTTATCTTTGTTTAATTGGAGAAAGTTCTGACGCATCCAGTCATTGATTTGTTCAATGCACTTACTCAGAGCCTAGGAGCCTAACTCAAACTATATGTTGCTTCTAATAAACATATTACATAAACGTGAGTTGTCCGACCGAAATAAAGAAATTGTTTTGTGTAACATGTCAGTACTCAAAGATCTTGATTAGGTTCAGCAAGGTTTACCAATTCTGCTAGATTCCATTAGTGGTCAAGGGGATTGAGTAAATCCTTTTTTTGTTTGTTTCTGAGATGGCTGCTGTCCATGGCGCTGAAAGCAGTTCAGCTTCATATGGGTTCTGTGTTGCTGGGAGACAGCAGTGTCCACTCAGCTCCATGTGAGACGGCTTCTTGTCAAACAGGTAATGACTTCAGCCGTAACACATTCTACAAATTGAGATGATGATTGGATTTCTATTGTAATTTGTCCCTTTTTATAATTTGACCTGTCTCCTCATCTCTTGAGCACAGAAAAAAAGAGTACAACATCCAAATAAATTCAATTGTTGCCAAGTAAGTGCTGCTACACTTTTATGATGGTATTAACTTTCATTTTATTAAATCCCCCCCAATAATGTAATAAACCTAATTCCTGTTGAACTTTTTCGTTATGAAATAAGTATTGTATTGTATTAGTGATTTCTTTGTGCATTTACTTAACAAATGCACAAACGCACTGGGCTTTTTCTGGATCCTCCACCGAAAATAATATAAGAAATCCCAATTTAACAGAAAACACCAGATGAGCAAAAAAACAATAGCTTAAATTCAATACTAAACAACAACAATGAAAGAACACACATGTAAAAAAAACATAAAGGAAATATGAGTTTGAAAAGCAAACGGTAGATTAATTATATTTAGGCATTTCTTTTTAAATTCAATAGATAGTATTTTGTGCCAGGTTTGTGTAACCCTAAATCAGATCGAAAAGTCTCTCAAAGCTGTCGTCAAAATGTACACACACAAAGTGATTTAGGAGTGATTTAGTGCTGTTGTAAACCCCTCCCAGATAGCAAAAAGTCATTGAATCAACATTGAGATATGGTCACGCTGAAGATTGTGTTCAACATTGAAGTCAGACATTGAAACAATAGTGAATGTGCTCATTATGATCAGCATTGAAACAACATTGAATTTTCAACCAATCCCAACAATGAATCAACCTTGATTCAATTACGATATGATCAACATTGAAAGAATGTAGAATTGGATCAACATTGATTCAACTATATTATGCATTGCATTATACATTGAAACAATGTTATTATCAGATTGCAAAAAGTCATTGAATCAACATTGAGATATTGTCATGCTGAAGATTGCAATTGATGTCGGACATTGAAAATAAACTAAAATGAACAAACAAAAAAAGAGCCCATTACTTATTCAGTTATTTATTCAGATTCAATGATATGAACATCTTTAACATCTTTTGTCCACAAGCACGAAAAACATTGTCTCTTAAGGTCCCATGTCATGCTTTCCTGGTTATCACCGTCCCCTTGTGTGTTATGTAGCTTTTTCTGCATGTAAACGGTCTGCAGAGTCACAAACCCTCAAAGTACACCCTGTAGCGAGTAAAACTAATAGAGAAGACCTGTCTATGCTGCCCCAGAACTTCTTCCTCAGTAAAGTGACGTAACGGGCATAGTGGTGTGACACACACACTCTCACTCAGCCTTATCTTTTCTCATCCGTGGCTGTGAGTGTGTGTGTCTGTGTGCTCAGGCTGAGTTCCTCTGTGTCTCGCTGTCTCACAGACCCCACGCAGCAACCAGGAAACAACACCAGTAATCCAGCTCACACTGTCTGCTCCTCGAGCCGAGCAGCGAGCCCCGCAACATCCCGCCAACACGGTACCCAGACCCCACGCAGCATTCTCATCAGTTTGTCATTACTGGTGTCATTTTCTGGTTGCTAACACCATTGTAACACATAATCACTGAGGTTCACCACCGTTACAGCTGTACATCAGCGAGACACAGGAACTTAGCCTGAGCACACAGACACACACTCACAGCCAGGCTGTGTGTGTAAATCCACGGAGCCGCAGCTGAGAAAAGATAAGGCTGAGTGAGAGTGTGTGTGTTACGCCACTATGCCCGTTACGTCACTTTACTCAGGAAGAAGTTCTGGGGCAGCATAGATGGGTCTTTTCTGTGTTAGAGTTTTACTCGCTACAGGGTGTACTTTGAGGGTTTCTGACTCTGCAGACCATTTACATGCAGAAAAAGCTACATAACAACAAGGGGACGGGTAATAACCGGGAAAGCATGACATGGGACCTTTAAGTGGAGGAAGCTCCTTAGAGACAATGATCTGGCCATCAACTGTAGTTCAAATTATATTTGCTCTGAAACTCCAGATGACATAAAAACCTGGCAACTGCAAACAGGGTTGTCATACTCGGTGGAAAGGCAGTCTTAACTATAAACTCAGATCTATAAGACCCCAGTTCAACATGAACGAAAACACCCCAACTTTGAACAATGTCCGTTTAACTATTTTTTCCTTGGTACACCGCCATTCCTCTCTGGTGCGTAACGTAGCCACTTCTGCACTCCAACCCTGAATGTCAATTCCGTCAGCCTGCGGTCAAATTGACGAGCAGCAGCTGAACAAAAAGAAGTTACATTTTTTGTTTATTGAAATAATAAGAAGAAGAAAGCTGCAATGGATGCGTTCCAGTGTGTACTGTTTAGTGTACTAGGTTTTCAGGCGGCCTTAATTGAGCAATTCACCCATCAACCACATCTTCATATAATTGATTCACACTATTACTCATTTCTGTGTACTCGCTCTGGGTCTCAGAGGACGGTAGTGGACAGTTCAGAAACGTGCCCATCAGTGACATCATCAATGGTCATTTCCAATTAGCTAGGAATAATGTCACTGGTAGGCAGGTTTCTGAAATGTCCACAGCCCACCTTTGAGATGCAGAGCGAGTAGACAGAAATGCTGCCATCCTATTATGAGCATTAATGAGGACCACTTATATGAAGATAAGGATAAGAATGGATGCATTTTGCATCCATTCTTATCAACTTGAGAAAGAAATGTAAAAGACTTATGAATTAAATTCAATATTTGCCAAATCTGTTGTAAAGTAGTAAACCTAGTATTTTGAGGTGCAGGCTCACCAAACATGCAGTCCTTTATCAGCGTGTCCTTGAAGGCCCTCTTCTCTCCCTTTCCCACCCAGTTGAAGATGCAGGCTAGACTGTTTGTCATGGCAGCGGATAGCATTCGCCGGATCATATTTTCCGAGTTGGTCCCTCCGACTAATGCCAGGCGGGTAATCTTAACAGACGAGAGAAAATGATTAGTGTGCTACAGTGTACTATGTAAATAGACATCTTCTCATTTATAAATAAATACAAATGTAATGAATTTGAACACATTTGTATTACCTCTAAGGAAGAAATAAGACCACTACTGTGTCCAAACTAATCGACAAACAATGCCAACAACCAAATTGGCAATCCTAAGAAATTGTCAAATATTGATTAAGAAAAATATTATCGTGATTCGCGAGGCGTATTTTTACAATATTTCTGTCAAACACACATCCAAGTGAAAAATAAATGTAATGCATCCACTCCTACAATTCCAGACATAAGCCCTTAAGATTTCAAACAAGAAATGTAAGACTTTTAAAACTTATAAGGATCCACAGGATACCTGCAAATGCATACAGAAAATATTAGAAGCCTCGACAGATTATAGAGAAAATGCTTTGTGTAAAAATTGTTCACCATCTTTCGACGGACTGCTTCCTCCCTCAAAGCAGCTTCAGTCTCATCAAACTTCTCCTCGTTGGTGAGTGGAAGCATTATGGGGAAGTTGTCTTCTTGTGACTCTGGTCCAGCTCCATGAATGTTTAGTTTAGCAAGTTCCGTCTTTATAAAGTTAATGTCACGTGAGATCTGCTTCACCTCCATATATAGCTCGGTAAGCATCTTCGTGGTTGTCATGGCAGCAATGTCTTGAAAAATAAAAAAATAAAGGTTTTAATTTACATTTCAAGGATAGATTTTTAATTTCCAATAATTTAGAATGACACTAAGTAACTCACTGATAAGTGTTTGCCAACAGTAACCATTAAAGCTGCACTATGTAACTTTCCTATTTACCCTGGATTTGAACACAGGTCTCCAGCACAACTGCTGAAATATTTACCACTGAGCTTATAGAGCCTGCCTGCTTGCTCGGGGGAGAAATTGACCATAAAGTCATAATTTTTGTCAAACCAAGGTCATGTCTCACCTAGATAAAGGATCTAAATGTCTCAATAGAAGAGCAGGGAGACCAAAATCAACCACCCCAATTTTAAGTTATATTGTATTAACACTACCATACAGATTGGACAAAATAACATTGTAATCACAAAAAGGTTACATAGTGCAGGTTTAAGTGCTTACATTTTAAGCCTTAACACCATGACAAAAAACATGAAAAGATGGGAAAGTCACAAGGGATAGGTTTCTCAATTCAGAAGGCATCAGTACGGTTAAGAACCTGCTCAGAAAATGATACTTGCCTTTCAACACTCTGCTTGATTCCTCTCCATATAATCTCCCCCGTGGTGTTTCTGGAGCTGAAGGGGGTGGGATGGGTGCTGCGGGGTCAGGTGAGCCAAGCCCAGTGCGCTGAAGTCAGCTAATCTTGAGCCATGTGCATAGCTGGCACCGCCGTCTAAAAGACAAGACACCATTATTAATTGTTTATAAGTAAGCCATGAGAACCATTGGCCCATAGGAGCCGATATCCTGTTTCCGCAGCATGATGTACAAGTACACCCCCTGGACATGATGCTAGTATGTCGTAGGGACTTAACCCAATCCAACCCTTGATACTGAGTGCCAAGCAGGGAGATATCGGGTACCATTTTTAACAGTCATTGGTATGACTCGGTCGGTGATCAAACTCACAACCTCCCAATCTCAGGGCGGACACTAACCACAAGGCCACTGAGCTGCTATTCATTCTTTATATTGAACATGAATTTGGGAATATTCCAAAAAAAACAAACATTTAAGATGAGAAATACATACCATTCCTTGCTTTCTCTAATGGCATAGCGTGGGAGGGGCTGGAGTTATATGTTGGCAATCCTAGAAAAAGAGAGAAATAACTAAATAAGGCAAATGAGCACTATCAAAGTTGTTATCCATGAGCACCATATAGCAATTGCACCTAGCTAGCCCCATATAGTTACTTTCCAACTTTAGATAAAGGAGACCTGAGGGATGAACACACTTGACTACAGAGTGAGTAATTAAAGAATAGTTTCCCACCTAAGTTGCTGATAATTCCTGTGATCCAAAGATAAAAGACATATAATAGCCTATTAGTCTACTTAATAACGAGGGGTGCACTCAAGTGGCTGCCGATGACAATTTATTCAGGATACAGAAAATATGACCAACGTTTCGGAGAGACTGAAACATTGGGTCATATTTCCGGTGTCCTGAATAAATTGTCATCGGCAGCCACATGAATGTGCCTGACTTTTACACCATTAGTTTACTTACCATCATTACAGTGGTCCATTGACTGGTCCAACTCCGCCAAATAGCTTCCACAAAAGCCTACAATGAGAGAACACAAAACATGAACTATGAATGCTGTAACTCGGACAAAGCACATTTACATACTGTCCGCCCGGAGGTAGTAGTGTGAAGTAGGGGTCGACCGATTATCCAGACCGATATTCCGCATTTTACAGATTATCGCTATCGGCCTTTTTTTTTTTTTTTTTTTAAATCAAATTGCCGATAAAACTTTGGATCTGATGCGGCCGTTTCTCTGGTTGCAGTCACCACTCTGTACACAAGCAATGTCCCGATCCAATTCTATCAGTTTCCCAGTTACACAGGGTAGCGTCTCGCAGCGGATAAACTGTGAGGGGGGGGATTGCTAGTGGAGCCTCGCAGCAACTCTGCTTTCTGCACCACAATCTGGTGCTGCTGAATTGGGACTACTAAATGAGTGAGACTCAAATATCAGAAGTTCAGAACAAGTTTTAGTAGTTTTTATTTTATTTCTATTTCATTGACTTTACTCAGGGTCACAGAGAGGAAACCAGTTTTAAGATGTTGAAAAGTTCAGCAAACATAAAAAGGCATTTCAAAGAAGTTGTGTTGGAGTTTGTGTTATTCTACATTTTGAGACCAAGATTTTCTGATATTACTGCAAATGTATATCGGTTCCAAATATCGGTTATCGGTCTCGTTGATTACTAATAATCGGTATCGGCCTTGAAAAAGCCATATCGGTCGATCCCTAGTGTGAAGTGGTTCACTTACCATTGTCAGCCTGGTGAATTGACAGAACATCCTCCGAGTGGCTTCCTCCAGAGGCTAAAAGGGAACAAAAGACAGGAATAATGGATGCTGTAACTTTTGAACACATATCACATGACTGATGTTTGAATGTATTGTTGGAGGAACTAAATGCTTGTAAATTAAAGCTCACATGCAATTACATATTGTTCCTGCCATTTTAATAAGTAATGACATACCACTGCTTGCATTTGGGGTTGGTCCTGAGGGGTACTGGCTGGATTCTGGGAGCACTGTAGGACAATGAACATCAGGTGGCTTGGCAAATCTTCTCTTCACACAGCTGGTTTCTGACTCCATGTACACAGGATTTGGCCTGGAAAATACAAATGAAACATTCAACATTCCCATTAATTGAACTAATTTGCCCCATGGCCCATTTCCAACCAGTCAGAGGTTAAGAGCCACATTTTTTCTATGTTACTGCAAAGAGCCACATCAAACACACTGATACCGCTTGTTTCAGTTTTTTGTTTTCTGGAGACAAGATTTCAACCACGTCACTGATGCATTTTTGTGGCATTGGGATATATATTTTTTAAATCCTCTGGAGCAGAGAGGAGCTGTGGATTATTGTTATTGATTAATGCATCAGTGTTTCTTAGGGTCAAAAACACTAAACTCACAACTTGAAATGAAAGCGTTTAGTTTATTTAATAAAAGAGCACATGTTCAATGTGAAAAGTGACAGTAGTTATAGATTATTTGCAATTTGGTGCTATATAATATATTAAAAAAAAAAAAAAATTATATATATATTTTAAACACCTTGAATTTCGGGGGTGCGCGGGGCTCCGTTGGCGGGGTGCAGCGCCCCTCCAAGACAATGGTAGGGGAAACACTGGATAATGTTTAATCAACGATAGGTTTTCCCCCCCTCAAAGGTGATTGGTTCACTGCATCGCAGGTATTATTGTGATTGGCTCTTGGGCCACATCAAAATTAGACGCGCTGGCATCCTCTCATACTGACACCTGACACCACACATACACACGTAGGGAGAGCCGGGACGAAAGTAACACGGGACGAAAGTAACGGAGCGATTTTATCCGAGCCCAAACAACTTTGACCGGCCAAATTACGTCAGAATTATTAGCATTCGATACTTAACAGACCTACTAAATATCATGTTTAACTCTGAGGAGTAGTGTTGTCACGGTACCAACATTTTGGTTTCGATACCAAGTCAAGAATTGCGATTCCGATTCTTTTTCGATACTTTTCTTAAAAAAAGGGAAACAGTCTTAAATGTAATTATTGTGCTTTATTTCACACCAGAACCATAACCATAACACAAACTTTTAAACAATGAGAACAATAAATAAAATAAATGACAAGAATTCGTATTAAATAAAATTAATACATGTCTTACAGACAGGCCGAGGCGCAGCGGCAGTTGCACTCCCACTTGCAGCCATGCTTCTCATTTTCTCACATGCTCTGGCAGCTAGCGCGTGCACGAGAGAGGGGAGGGACTTAGAACGTGCTTGAGAGGGGCGGGACTGCAGGCACGGCAGCAGTGCAGGGAGTGGAAGTAGAGCGCTGAACACACACGGCTCTTATTAAACAGCGCTTTCTCACCGGAGTACTTTTCTCCGTCATTCTTAAAGTACCGATACTAATGAAACGGAGGAATCGTAACGTTTTTAACGGCAGGGTATTGCGGTACCTTTCAAGTATTGGTACACCGTGCAACACTAGTCAGGAGTCAGTGTCTCTCCCCCAAACTCACACATATAAAATTCGATATGAACTGAAGAGCCGCATGAAACTAGGCAAAGAGCCGCATGCGGCTCGAGAGCCGCGGGTTGGCCACCCCTGCACTAGTCTATCACAGGACTGGAGGTGGGGTTTTTACTTATTGTTTACACAGAAACCAAGGATTATATATTTCAAGAGGGAGCGATCAAAGTAAACATCCTAAGCCTGCTTCCTCCACACTGGGAGTGCTGTGACCACTTTTCCATTGCATCTTATGAGCGGTTGGGTTCTTTTGGTTCCAGCCTATGCACGCATACTGGTTCTTATCAATGCGACGTTGTTTGATAAGGGTTAAAGTCTGGCCAGACATGGAACCTGACCTCCTACAGGAATTCAACTGTACCTTACTCTTCTTTTCCCACGTTCACCTGCTTCGTCCTCAGAGCTCAGATCAGTGGTTGGACATCCAGTATTCGCATACTTTTCTTCGTATCGTTTGGCCTTTTCCAATGAGTCTGTAAAAGAAAAAGCATAAAATAACAGGATGACATTTTACTGACTAGTCTCACTTGTGACACATATGTCATATGTGGTATGGTACCACACACATTCAAACTGCCATCTATAAAACGTGTGGATACCTATATACTTGAAAATAGACAATAGTAATGCAGTGACTACTTACCACAAGTAATCAAGAGCCGGACATTCGCATATGTGGTCCATCCTTTATGGGCCGTCATGTGTTCTTTAAGGGCCTTCAAATACATGTTTTTTGGGGGCCATAACAATTTACCTTCCTTTAGACTGAACCAGCTGGCAAGAACTGTTGCAGCTCCGCCATTTGGAAAAAGTTCAACGGCCCAAAGCACCACCTCCCTTTCCATTCTGTATACAATAAAGGAAATAATGTAAATGATTAAAAAAAAAACCTGCTCATAAATCATAAGATGTCATTTACTCGCCCAGCAGTATGAGCGGTATGCTACTGCATATGAGCTATTGGAATAGCTATGAGGCCATTTCCTTCTGACTCTGGATACAGAACACATTTACGTTTGATACATCCAAGTTTACCAACCCCGATATTGTCACACAACTCTCTAACCTTGTATGTACCTATGCATGAGGACTCGCAGGGATAAGTGTAATATGATTCTTGGTGTCTGAACCTTTTGTAGATCACATAGACCTCATCTTCTTCCTGGACTATATTCTGCACTACTGCAATACTATGTCCCACCTCAATACAATTATCCCCCTGCTTTGTAGACAAGGTAAAACGACTACTGGAGACCTTTGTGTACTGTACAGCACACCGAAATGTTGAGGGAGTGGACCATCAGTGTGGATTTTCTGTAACACTGGTTCATCTGTTGGTAATGGAACCTCACAACGTGGCTGTTCTGACAACCTTTTGACCACCTGTTGTAGAGGTTGGTGTGGCTTGCGTAAAAGATGCTTTATTTGGCCAAGATAATTCTCAAAAGGGAATCCTGAAACATTATCTAAAGGTCCAAATTGTTTGTATTCATCGGCTAAATGTATAAGCTGGTGTACACTGAACACAATCTGATCCCTACCATACAACTGTCCAAAGTGTTCCACAAAGGAAATCATCAATCTATGCGCTAATTCAACCTTTTGGCCAGAAATTCCAGGAGACAAAAACAAATACATGGCCACTGAAAACAACATAAAGTTGTCATAAATCTCACTGGGAAGGCAATCCTTCAGAACTACAGGGACAGTATGAAGGATCGGAGCTCTGTAGCTTTCCAACGATCCAGCTCATTCAAACCCCTTGGCTTGCGATTGAATTCACAAGGGGTGTGGGAATGTAACCCCTGCAGTTTGCTTGATATACTGTTAACAGTTTGTGAAGGAAGCCTAGTGGCTAGATTGCCCTTTAACCACATATTCAACAGTTTTCTCATCACACCAAGACAACAGAGGTGCATATAATCTATTGGGAATGAAGAAACCATCTTTACTGTCCCTGTTAAAGGACTGAGTGTCTGTTTCAAGTGATGTTCTTCATCAATCATATCACAATAACTTGAGTCTGTCCTGAGCCTGACATTTGTTTCAGGATAAGTCATTTTCTTCCTCCACACACCATGTTGATCACACTTGTCACACCCTGAATAGCCATTATGTGACTTGATATTCTTAACGTAGGCTCTGGCTGGAGCATCACACACAAATGAGGAAACCAGTACTTTCAATCGGTTACCATTATGAACAACGCCATTAGCCAGTACATTTTTAAGGTCGCTAATAAATTGCTGCAGATACTCAACAACACACTTGGGCTTGCTTAAACCACAAAAGATACCGACAATAAATGGGGACTTAGTATAATCACATTTCAGAATTGCAAGTATAGGCCAGAATTGAAGTCTTGAACTCTTAAAGAGAGGGAGACCATCTATGTTGAACTGTAAAGTAAGAGTTCTGAGGCTCACTGGTAAACTCAAACATTTCAATCGTGAAAGTATCCCTTGCACCAATCCAAAATGGTAGTACTCGCCACCTTGCATTTGAGTGGTTGCAACATCATGTTGTGTTCTAAGCAGAGTTCTTCCATCCTTAGGGAGCATAGGGTGAAAAAGCTTTAAGATGGACAGCAGAGCAGACAAAGCAACCAGACTGATTGAGTAGGATGTTGCCCAATATCTTAGGCTCCTCATAAGCCGATCCTGACTAGGCTGATGCTCGTCATGGCTGTCGGAGTCAGAATCTGATTCAACATTCCCAGCCACACTACCATCAGTATGATCATTTCCCATTTGTACATGATCTGATTCAACTTCATCATCTCCAGCTAAACTACCATCAGTATGATCATTTTCCATGTGTACATGGGAAGCTAGTGGTGTATCTAGTTGGGAAACGTGTGAGATTCTGAAGGGTGGTTCCCTATTCACACAGGGGTCTAAATGTGACTTGTTATTATAAAGAGTTTCCTCGTATTCCTTAAGGATATCTTTCTCCATGTCCCTTACAGTTCTGATGACTCTACGTCTTTTAGACCAATAAGAAGCCATCTTAGGTAAAGAGAGGTGGCGCTGCTATAATTACTTTACTTGGCCTTGTGTATTGCAGTGATCCCCTTGACTCGTCTTGTAGTATAATCCTGAAAATGGAGGAAAACAAAGCAGATTAAAAAACAGTATGCATAAACTAACAGTACAAATATATATCAGCCTCCTGGTGCAATGCAAATATAACTGTACTGACGAAATTCCCTAGAATTACACGTGTTATTCCATGGGTCTTCAACCAGGAGTCCAGGACCCCTAGGACATACATTTTACCCAAATATCCTATATGATGCTTTAGCTTGACTGTATCAGACCAACTTTGATGTAATTTCTGTAGGATGTAGGGATGCCAGAAACTGACCATGATCCAAATCGGCGGGGTCGGTGTGTAGCAAGCTGCAGCAGCAGTCTGCGCAGGGCAGCCTGCGCTGCTGGCTTCCTCCAAGTTTTACAGTCAAAACTGGTGTTGTGACCAATGGCCATTTACAATTATTAATACTATTACTATTATTAGTCTATATTTTTGGTTGAAAACTAAGCCAGAAAAAA